AGATAATTATCAATTACTTTTGTGTTAAACTTCACAAACTTACATCAGCATGCCTTTCCCAAATTATATAAATATCTGCTCTTCAAATGGAATTTAAGCTAGCTTTACCATCTTGCTGGTTCCCCCATTAATGAGATAAATCAATCTCTGTCCCTGTTAATTTTATATTTTTATTGGAATTGTGTTTCAACTCTTTTAAAGTTACACTTCAACAGTGTTTTAAGCTCCATACATCTACAGTTCCTATACATTCCAGCAGGATATTTTGGTAAAATGTGCTATTCATTTCCAGCAATTTACCTGAATAAAAGAGGGAGCTATTATTTATACTATTTAGTGATAAAATTCTGCGTTAGAAACAGCTTTTGTTAATGGGGTGGGTGGAAGGAATTTAATTGCCTCTGCTGTATTAAGACATTTAGAGACTTTAACATAATCTCTGGTCCAAGAGAGAGATGCACCCGTGAAACACTGAGGTTACTGCTCTGTCAGTTCCTTGGTAATAGAATGTTGGCAAGGCATGAAATCTCTAAGTCACAAACTTTTTATTTGTAAAAAATAAAAGATCTTCCAGCAACTTACCTTACAGATTTGTGAAAAATTATATTAAATGAAGCATACATCTTTAAACTAACACAAGATAAATAGTAAAAATTTAATAAGATTTAGATCTCCTTCCTTCACAGGAACATTTACTCTATTCCTTTTGTCCTCACTAAAATTCCCTTTTTCATTTGCTAATAAGATTTTATTCTAGTATATGTGAATATTTTATTAAACAAAGAGCTGAAAAGTCAACTTTTAAATAAATTAGAAGTATATATAACACCAATGAATATTTCATAAGAAAATGTAATATTCACCTTCTAAACAAAACCCACAAAATTAATTGTCAAGAAACTGTTCTTTTTATTTCAGACTCTTAATATTACATGAAATATGTTTTCCATGACACAAATTAAGAGTATAATATACAAATTACAATCTGATGAAGAATACCCAAAAGAACACAATTACATTAACAGAAAGATATATTTGTTCATGTAATTTACTTAGAAAAAAAATCTGATTAGCCTTTAAATAATATCAATTTTCAAGACTTTGAAACAGTACATACAGGCTCTAAATATACCATTGCAACCATGTTTCCTTGAATTTACTTTCCTCTAAAATTACAACAAAGGAAAAGAAGTTACCCTTGTGCAGTGGAATGGCAGTTAAAAAGTGTTGTTTTCGTTGCAGTTGGAGTTGACCTTGTCACACACTAAAATAAATCTTATATGAGCCAACTAAAACTTCAGTATATTTCTAAATTGGAGGTAACTTTAAATGAAAGAAATTAGGATACAATAAATCAAAAATAAATCAGAACTTAAAGGAAATGCCTAATTTCCCACTTAAATCGTATGCTGAAATTTCTTGTACAATTTGCTTTAATTACCAAGTTTATTCAGGTAGCAGTTCAAATTTGAAACTATACTTCTTAAATGAATAATTAGTATATATATATTTTTATTATTGAAGTTGTCTAGTCAAAACACTGTGGTAATTGTGTATTCCTAAGAAGGCTGTGAGGTACTTTGAATAATACTTATATTGTTAAATAAATGAAATAACAAAGCATCAACTACCAAATTAGTGTTGAGGGTCACATGAATTATTGACAGAAGAAAAGATCATGAATTAGTGGACCAAAATATTGATGGGGAACTTCACACTTTGGCCTTGAAGAATTAGGAGGGACAGAATAATTCTAAACAATCTGCAGAAATTTCAATTCTGCAAGGCAGAAATAGACAAATAATATTCAGGAAGCATAGAATCAATCAACCCCATTGCCATAGTAGCTCTTAGTACAAGACAACAGTGGGTAATGAAATTTTCTTGTCTCTAAATCAATACCGAAAAATGCCTGGGTGCCTCTGATAATATTAATTTGGTCTGTAAGGAATTCATCTGCTTAAGTTTTGCTTATTTTTTTTTTATTTTACAAATATGTTACAGAAATGTTGGGGAAAGACAAGATGACATTTTGTGTTGGATTCCTATTAATATAACAGGTGTAGATAGCAAGTGAAGGTCTGTCTCTTTCACAAATGCACACGAAACAATGTTGTCAACGAATCAGGTAAAAGGCAGAAAAAAAGATAGGACTCAAAAGCTTGGGTCCTAGTGACTATTGTGTAGTACTATTAGTGCTATATAGTACCCAGTGCTATTGGTAAAAATGGAAGAATCTTGGGAGTCGGCTTCTTTGTTGGAATTAGAATATAGTTTATATATAAATATGTTGACTTTGAAGTCATCCTGTAGAGAATGTTCTACAGGACATCCTGTAGAAAACGTGTAGTTTGAAGATGTAAGATTTATTGTTCATATTTATAAAAATGTAACCAAGTGTAAAATGATTCATATGCTCAATCACTGTTATTTACTGTTTGGAGATCCTCCACGTTTCCAGTTATAATTATAGTTTTGAGATTGCTGTAATTAAGTTTCAGTTTTAAGAAATCTAATTATATCATCTCTTGTACTTACGATGAGAAAGGTATCAATATCCCAGTTTTATAGACAAGAAGGCTCAAAGAAGGTACACAACTTCAAGGGCTGATCTGAGCTGGAGCTTGCTCAGCTGCTAGGTGTCACAGTGACTGATGGAACAAGCCAAAATGAAAGTAACATACAAGCCTTTAGTCACTTAGTGTAAAAATATAAGCAAGAAGCTAAATTAGAGAAAGTACCAACTCTCCCACTGTTCCATTTTTCTCCGTGAAATGGCACAAGTCAAGGGTCATATGGATCAGCACAGACGTGTTAAATCGCTAGTCAGAATGAAGTAATTGCCTCACTTCCAAAAGAAGCTGAACAAAAGGATCCTGCAGTTTTATGGACTCAGGTGGAGGAGGGGAGGGATGGGTAAGGGCTAGGAGTGGCAAAGTACTAAATACCGAGTCCAGAGTAGAAAAAAGTGTCTGCCCTTCTCCCCATAAAGAGATCTCAGCAGAGGTGCCTGTCAGAGGTGCTTCTGACATAGGTTCCTGATGGAGGTACCTAATGGAGGTGTTTGGGGTTAGTAATATAGATAAGAGCATGGCTGGCCAAGGGATCTGGAGTTCTTGACTATAACCTTCTACAGAGATGGCAGTGCACTGGCTGCGCTCTAAGTCTGGTGTAGGAAATGCAGCTTTTTATTTTGCAAGGTCTGCCAGGCAAAACCTTTGCTACTGCCTGTGGTCAGACCTGAAAGATCACACATAGATTTTTGAACAGGAAACAGACTCCTCAATAATTTTGGCATAAACTGATTCAAAACAAAATGTATACCTTGGCTTGGAAAAAAAAAAAAGTCCCACTTTCTTCTATTCAAGATTGCTCTCCTCATTAAAAACATTTTCAATAAATTACCTATATATTGATGTTCCTATAATCTCTTGCAATTTTACTATTCCTTACTAATAAAATATATGTTGGAAATGTTTGTTGCAATTTGGGTTGGAAAATAGAGCTGGAGTAGAGATGTAGATGGTAGTCCCATAAACCACTTGAAAAATGATGGAAGGAAGAAGAAATTCTTTGTGTGAGAACTATGTTAGACAGCCGTAAGGTTCTGCTGCCTGGATGTACCCTAAAAGTTACTGATATCTAGAAACAAATCAAACCTAGATTTTACTAATGACTCATTGAGATCATGTCTTTCTACTTGTCTAACACATATCTATATATATGTTGCCTTAGCTCCCTCACTATATTCCAAAGTCTTTTGCTCATTGGTAGTGCTACTTAATTCATAATTTGAAACCATATAATAACCAAGGTGATATCGTCATTGGAAGTTCCCCATAAATACTATTGAGTTGAATATGGCAAGCAGTCAATAAGATCTAGAGCTTTATTGGTCCTTGAGATCAATGATTTTTTTTTTTTTGGTACATCTTGATAGCGGAATAACATGGCTGTCCATTAGTAGTCTGAATCTTGACATCAGAAATGATTAAGTGACAAATTGTAATCGAGGGCTTAAGATTGGCACAGCCAACCTGATAGGAAGTTCAAAGGAATAAATTACTAATTAGAAATGAAGGTTTCAGATTGAGATGCATTATAAAATTAAAACTTAAACTTCATTGGGATTTAATGTTACCCATAATGGACTAAAGTGATTTTCAATGTCCTTTTTGGCATCCCTTTGCACATTAAAAGTAATATGGCTGTCATTCATCTTTGGTTAATCTGAGGAAGTAAAATGATTATACTTTGAAATTATATTTTATATAGTAATTTTTCTTTAGGTATAATTTAAAAACTGGAGCTGCCATTCGTGTGTTTCCTTTAAACAGTTTTTATCATTGTGGTCATATTTCTAATTAGAGTATGACATTTCCACCTTAAGAAAGCCTTTAGACTTGGGTGCCTGGGTGGCTCAGTTGGTTAAGCAACTGCCTTCGGCTCAGGTCATGATCCTGGAGTCCTGGGATCGAGTCCCGCATCAGGCTCCCTGCTCAGCAGGGAGTCTGCTTCTCCCTCTGACCCTCTTCCCTTTCGTGCTCTCTCTCTCTCTATCTCATTCTCTCTCTCAAATAAATAAATAAAATCTTTAAAAAAAAATTTAAAAAAAAAAAAGAAAGAAAGCCTTTAGACTCAACAGGGATCATTGATATTTTAAGTTCAATTTATTGTTTTTGTGCAACAGTTTCCCACAACTGAAATATTCTCCATAACTCAAAACATAGAGATTATAGATTTTCAAATCTAATCAGTAAAATAAAAACATGTTAGGGGAATTAACATTTTTCGAGTGCCTACCACATGATAGACACAGTGCTAAAGAGTTATATTAAATTGATTAATTCAATCATGATAATCATGATATTCAACTTCAGTAAGAAAAGGTGCTTGCCCTTCTCCTAATTAATGTATTAGAAACTGAGGCTAAAACACTGATTTAACCAAAATCATGCAGAGGGAGCTAGAAGTAAAGCCAGAGTTAAAAGCCAGATTTTGTGCTTGCTTGGCAGTACATAAAACTAAATTGGAATGATACAGAGATTAGCATGGCCCTGGTGCAAGGATGACACACAAATACATGAAAGTTTCCATTAAAAAAAAAAAGCCAGATTTGTTGGCTCCAAAGTTATATCATTTTGTCTGTATACGAATGTTTCTATCCATGTCTAATCTTCCTTGTGTATTATATTTGAAACAAAAATGAGTAATTTTGTTATATGTTGCCATCATAAAACTATTCCAAAGTCTATATCTGTATAATAGTTTCAGTATAAATTCAGAATTTTTATAATAATAATTTGTATTTCAAATGTGAAATTATATGTTTTATTATCTATAGAATAGAAATGCTAGTATTTTAGTCAATCTCATTTTAATGCTCCAGAAAAAAAATTGATAATGTCCAGTTATCATGTGGAAAATTATCTGATTATACACTATTTATGCCTTACGTGCTGTAGTAGTAGATATAAAAATATGGTGAATTATGAAAAATTAATTTAATATAATTAACCATTAAGGTCTCAGAGGGTCAATATTTTGCACAAAGATACCTGATAAAAACATATTTCCTAAAATTATTGTGAAATACTGCTATTAAAAACTGATAAATGTGGAAAAATGGTCAATTTGTTATGACTATAATTTGCATGTGATTAAAGACGACTTTTTAAGGCTATCATTTCCATATGATGGATATTTTATTCTGCTATTCCGTTAATGAAAAATACTGCACGCTACTGACAGTCATAGTAGAGTTAGGACTGGTGTTTCCTCACTCGGCTCCAACGGCAGGTGCTGTGATATGGGCCAAAGAAGCCCCACACAGCTTACATGTTATTCTCCACACCACCTGCTTCCCTGTTGCTTCCAATCTAGACTGCGTCAGGCTTCTGCCCAGGATTGCAACTAAATTTTGTATATGTCCAAACTCAACAATCTCTACAGGACAGAAACAGATACAGATTAGAAGTGAGAATACTTATTTTAATCTCACAATAGCATCAGTCTTTCTTGTTCTAGATGCTTATTTCAGAATAGCAGATGACATTTTGTTTCACAAGCGGTGCAAAGTTTTCTATTCTGAAATGGAGTTCTGCTATAAGCACTTTAATATAATGATCACACAAAAAATAATTAACTTACATTGAAGGATGAAAGTTTTTAATGTGCTGTGGTTAAAAAACAACAGACACCTTAACTATAGAAAACAAACTCATGGTTGCCAGAGGGGTTGGGTGAAACAGGTGACATGATTTAAGGAGTGTACTTGTGATGAGCATCTGGGGTTGTATTAAAGTGTTGAATCACTATATTGTGCACCCGAAACTAATATTACACTGTGTTAATTAACTGGAATTTAAATTAAAATGTGGAAAAAATAAAAAATAAAAAGTATTTAAAAAAAGAAGTAAAAGGGAAAAAACAACAACAAAAAACAATACACACCTATTACTATAGATCTCTAGCTCTATTCATAAGATAAAGCAACTTTTAATAAGTATCTATATATAAGAATGAAAAATACATTATAAAATCATCAAATTGGAAGGCCACATAATTTTGTATGCTCTCTAATTACTCTCTAAATTATTATATCAGAAGATACCCTGAATTTCAGTCTTTAAAATGAATTACATTGTTATAGCTATGGATATATACATGAAGAGAAAAATTATATCAAAATAAGAGTGCTTATCTCCGGATTTCAGGATTGGAAGTCATTTAGGCTTTCAAAACTTACCATGTAGTCCTCTTAATACAAAAAAGTGGGGAGGATCAAATTTAGTGCAGTCAGTTATGGAGTAGAGGTCCACACTTCAATTTGGCAGACAGGGGAAACTCAAAATATGAATAGTTACAGCTGTTATCCTTTGGTAATTGCTTCAAATGCATTTTCTTAATTAGTAATAACTATCTTATCTCTTATGAGGAAGGATTTATCTTCTCCACTGTCTTTGTCTTATGTAAAATAGTATGTAACCAGTATTGGAAAATTTCACTTTTGTACATCCATCCCTGTAATCTTTCTCATCACTTAAAAATTTGTCTTGCAAATTTAATTGCCTAAGAGCATATGTGAATTTAATTAAGAGAAATAATAAATTTGCGATGTATAAGCAAGTCCTTGGGAGTTTTACCATGTCAAATATCTCAAATACATTAAATTAAAGCTCTCCGAACAAAGGGTGCAAGATATTCTGCACAAGCCTGCTCTTACAGGTTCCACTTCATGAAGAAAAGCGATAGCCTCCTTTAACAGAAATAAAGAGATATTTATAATTGGCTTAAAATATCATATCATGCCAGAAATCAATCCTTTGGGATATGAAATACAATACCATGATTTTGTCATTTTTTTATTTGATTATTTCTTCTTTTGTAAACCATATCAACCACACACAAATAAATGTACTACTAAAAACTGAACCTAAAACTAATTTAAAATAAACTATTATCAGAAATTACACAGAGGTACCCGGGTGGCTTAGTTGGTTAAGTGTCCAACTCTTGGTTTCAGTTCAGGTCATGATCTCATGGGTTGTGGGATTGAGTCCTTGTGGGGCTCCTCCCTCAGCGGGGAGTTGGCTTGAAAGTTTCTCTCCTTCTGCCCCTCCCCCAGCTCATGCCTCTCTCTCTCTTTCTCTCTCTCTCTCTATCTCAAAATAAATAAATAAATCTTTAAAAAAAATACACAGGAAATGGTTTTGTTGATAACATAACACTTTAATATTCCAACAAACAGGGACTCTACTTAACCAATATAAAAACTGTAAATAATCTTGAACAATCATCATATTCTATAGAGTCCAGATAAAATATCTCAGATTTAAATGTTTTAAATACATGGTCATTTGGTGGTCATTTATTTAACTTAATTCTACAGGAATGTTGAAATAAAAAATGGACTAATTGGAATGAATGTATGTTTGTAAATAGTGAGAATTTAAAAATTAAAAACAAAATAAAAATTCACCTTCTAGTCATGCTTTTGTCATTTTTGTTAGTGCACTTGAGAATGAGGACAATGGTTTTCATTAATATAATTTCTAATTGGATCCACTATCTTATACAATAAAACGCGGGCCAAGAAGTCGAGTAAATTCTTATGGTCTAGGTTATATTCCAGATGTAACCTAAGGTACAACTGTGTGTGTGTGTGTGTGTTTGTGTGTATTTACATATAATTTTAACTGCCACCACCCCTTGTGATGCTTGATATTTCTGTGAGCATAAAAGGAAACCCTAGAAATAAAGCTAGGAATGAAACTGAGGCTTTCTGCCTCAAAAATCTATTCATAAGTTTAATAAAGAAATCTTTAAGTGTTGATCTAAACAATATTTCTCATGCTGAAGACATAAATGTCTGAGTTACATGTATTTTCACTTCATACTTTATTGAAACTTCATAATTTGGTCCTAACATCAGTGAATACTGGCATGGTTCTTTCTTTCCTATCTCTGCTTTTATTTCTTTTCCTTGACTTACTGCACCTTTTAGAAAATCCAGTACAATGTTGAATGAAAGTGATGATAATGGGAATTTTTCTCTTCTTACAAGTCTCAAAAGAAAGCTTTAAGGGTTTGACCCTTAAATATGATGTTTACTCTAGGCATTTTGAATATCTTTTGGCAGATAAAGGATGTTTATTTTATTCTGAATGTTCTGAAAATGTTACCATTGGTGATTCTTTTCTATCAAATGTGTTATTTTTTCAGCAGTTTTTGGGATGGTCTTATGAATTTTTTCTCTTAATCTTTCATTGTAAGTTGATTTTTATAATATCCACCAACCTTAGTTTCCTGGATAAAGCAAATTTGGCATGATTTATTGTCATGACCAAGATATCCCTTATCAGATTGAGGTAGTTATCTCCTGCTCCTAGTATTCAGAGAATTTTATCATTAATGAGAGTTGAAAATTGTCCAGCATTTTTTTTCTTCATTTATCAAGGTGATAATGTTATTCTGATAATCTATAGATTATGTTGTTCATTAAGGTTTAAACTAACTTTTCATTCCTGGAATAACTCTACTTGGTCATACTGTATTATCCTTTATGTATTATCATTTACATATGTTGCTGCTTTCAAGTACTAATATTTTAGTAAAGATTTTTATGTCTATGTTTATGAAAGGCTATAATTTTCTATTCTAGTAATGTTTTTGTCATGTTGTGATACCAAGGTTTTTCTGAGCTCGTAAAATATGCTGAGGTGTGCTTTCTTCCTATACTTATGGAAGAGTTTGTGTAAGATTGGTATATTAGTTCATTCGTTTCACTAGTGAGAACGTCTAAAATCTGAACTTTCTTTGTGGGGGAAGATTTTGATAATAAATACAATTTTTGAAAAATATAGAGCTATTCAGATTTTCTATTTCACCTCCTGTTGATTAATTTAACTTGAGCGATTTTTAAGCAAATTGTCTGTTATTCTAAATTCCTATTTTTAAATTTATTGACATAAGAGTGTTATGGAACACATGACTTTATAATAGGGGCACCTGGTTAGCTCAGTTGGTTAAGCCTCTGTGTTCAGCTCCCGTCATGATCCCAGGGTGCTGGGATCAAGCCCAGAGGTGGGCTCCTGGCTCAGAGGGGAGCCTGCCTCTCACTCTTCCATTGCACCTCCCCCTCATGCTTGCTCTCTTTCACTCTCTCTTTCTTTCTCTCTCTCTCTCAAATAAAGCAATAAAATCTTTTAAAATGACTATTATAACATTGCCTTCAGCATCTGTAATAATGGCATCTATTTAATTTAGATATTACAGGTATTGCCATTGATCAATTTTATTAATCTTTTAAAATATTAGGTTTTGCTGGGTTATATATTTTTTTAATTTTTTATTGTTATGTTAATCACCATACATTACATCATTAGTTTTTTTTTTTTAAAGATTTTATTTATTTATTTGACAGAGAGAGACAGTGAGAGCAGGAACACAAGCAGGGGGAGTGGGAGAGGGAGAAGCAGGCCTCCCGCTGAGCAGGGAGCCCGATGCGGGACTCGATCCCAGGACCCTGGGATCATGACCTGAGCCAAAGGCAGACGCTTAACGACTGAGCCACCCTGGCGCCCACATCATTAGTTTTTGAT